CCGCGTCCCAGCGCTTGCCCGCCTGGGGGCCGCGCGGGCGGCGGCTCCCCCCCGGGAATTGAGAAGGGAGAGGAGTGGGAGGAGGGGGAGAGAGACCTGAGGAAACTAAGGTGCATAAAACATGCTGCATTTCACACTCCCGTCCCAACTCACCCTCCTCACACGCCCCTACAAGCCCCCTTTGCAACAAGAAGACCCCCTTTGAAATACCAGCACCATTGGCCTGCCATTTTGGCGGGGGCCCCGCTGTGAGAAGGAAGCGCCTTGCGTCTTACTGGCGCGCAATGAAAAACGCAATGAGCTTGCCATCGCTCGGACGTCCACCTCCCGTGTATGTTTCGATCTCGTGCGTTCGCTTTTCGACAACGCTCCGAGATGATCCTCTGTGGTCCTCGCCGAGGCTCAAATGCACACGCCCGAGCGATGCCAAGTGATCATGGAGTTACACGAGGTGCCCAGCCAGATCCCCCCCGAGAAAGGACCGCCCCCCCATCCGCGTGATTGTTGCACACGTCTAGACCTGTGGCCGTGAGCTTCGATGACGTCTCAAGGGACAACTCCATTTTGAACAAGAGCCGACAAGGATCAGTGCAGTTCTACGCGCGTTGCAGTTCAGGGCCCGCGAATTCAGCGAAGTCTCAAGCGAGACTTCTGTGTTGAAAGAAAAGGTTTCTAGTTTCCCCAAACAGTGCTGACACTTAGGGGTCCTCACATGTCGTCTCCGGAAGTGGGTACGTTTGTCGGGTCCGCCGCCGTTTTGCTGCAGTCGCCGCCCTGTCGCCGCCCCGTCGCCGCCTCGTCGTTACCCGTCGTCTGGGCTCGTTTGTCGGGACCGGTGCCGTCTTGTTACCGTCACCGCCCCGTCGCCGCCTCGTCAGCACCCGTCGTCTGGGCTCGTTTGTCGGGACCGCTGCCTTGTTGCCGCCGTCGCCGTCCCCTTCGCCGCCTCGTCGCCGCCCGTCGCCTGGGCTCGTTTGTCGGATCCGCCGCCTTGTTGTCTCCGCCGCAACCCCGTCGCCGCCTCGTCGCCGCCCGTGGCCGCCGCCTCGCTGCCCCCCTCGCCCAAAGACTGCACACCATAGTTTGAAGTACATACACTGCAGAACACAACATAGATCGCACCACGTAGAACATTGGTTTTCTTCTCTAATGCAAAATTAGACTCTACCCCCCCCCCGCGAGTTCACGGTCCCCTTTTTTCGTATTGCAATTTACATATGAGTCTGCCCCATCGTCCATCCGAGATATGAAGTCAAACTATCCCAGCCAGGCCAGTATCACTCCCCCCAGCCAACCTCTGCAAAAAAGACTATGCGCGCACTCTCGCTTATCAAGAATCATAAGTTTTCAAGAATCACTTGCGAACAAAGGGAAGAAGTGCACACGCGCGCGTCGTCGCGCGCGCATGCCGAAATCCTTCAAAAGCCTTCGGTTGTTCGAAAGGATTCCAAAATCGAGCTTCCCAAAAACATACAAAAAACACATGGTTTCGCAACACTTATTTTCAAAACACACACACACACACAAAAACAAAAAAAACAAAAAACAAAAAAAAATGCGCGCGCGCCCTTGCGAAATCTTAAGAAAAATAATAATAATAATGTTCCCAAACAAAGGCTTCGCGCGCGCGCATGTCGAAATCTTTGGAACGCCCTTGCGCGCGTACCGTCGCGAGAATCCTCTGCAAAAAACGGGACGAAGTGCAAACGCGCGCGTCGTCGCGCGCGCATGCCGAAATCCTTCAAAAACCTTCGGTTTCGGAAAGATTTCAAAATCGTGCTCAAAAAACATACAAAAACACAAAGTTAGTCAACACGGATGTTCAACAAAAGCGTGCGCGCGCGCTCTTGCGTCGTCGTCGTCGTCGCCGTCTCCCTCCTCCCTCGTCGTCGTCGTCGTCGCCGTCGTCGTCATCTGTCTTTCCTCGTCGTCGTCGTCGTCGGCGTCGTCGTCACTCCCGTCGTCGTTGTCGCCGTGGTCGTCCTTCCTCCTCCCTCGTCGTCGTCGTCGTCCGTCGTCGGCGTCTCGCCGTCGTCCCTACTAGTTCGTCGCCGTCGTCTTCGTCGTCGTCTTCACTCCTCCCTCGTCGTTGCGGTCGTCGGCGTCGCCGTCTTCCCTCCTTCTTCGACGTTCGCGTCATCACCGCCCTCCCTCCTCCCTCGTCGTTGTCGTCGGCGTCGGCGTCGTCGTCCTCCCTCACTCGTCGTCGTCGTGTTCGTTGGCGACGTCGTCGTCGTCGTTTTCGTCGTCGTCGTCGTCGGCGTCGTCGTCGTCGGCGGCGTCGTCCTCGTCGTCATCGTCGTCGTCGGCGTCGTCATCGTCGTCGTCGTCGGCGTCGGCGTCGTCGTCGTCGGTGTCGTCGTCGTCATCGTCGTTGTCGCCGTCGTCGAAGTCATCGGAATCGTCGTCGGTGTCGTCGTTGTCGTCGACGGCGTCGTTGTCGTCGTTGTCGCTGTCGTCGTCGGCGTCGGTGTCGCTGCCAAGCGCCATTTGGTACCTACCGTCACGGTCTTAAGAGGTGTTGCGACCAAGTTGCGGGCGGGAAGATGGGATGTTTGCACGAGCAGCGGGGAAGACAGCTTGAAGACAGTCAAAGTGAATTGCACACCATTGATCGCACCACACAAATTGCACCGATTATATTGCACCACACATAGATCGCGCCACGTACATGATACCGCGCAGATTGCACAACATGAATTGCCCCACGCAGGTTGCACAACGTCAGTTGCGATAAATAAATTGCGCAACACGCCAATTGCACCACATAGGTTACACCACATAAAGTTTTCTGTTTTACAAAAGATTTAAGATCTACCCGCCACTCCCCCATCAATGTTGTTTCTGCCCCATGGGGGTGCGCAATCTACATTTGAATTTGACCCACTGTTCATTTTACATAAGAACCGCGCGCCCGCGTTCATCAAAAAACACCCATTCGCAAAAAAACCTTGCTACAAGGCAGAACGTAGTGCACACGCGTGCGTCGTCGCGCGCGCATGACGAAATCCAGAAAGGAAAAAAAACAAAAACAAAAACAAAAAAACACTCTGGCCCCGTAAAAACATCTGAATCGATCGTCCCGAAGACAAGTCTTACCACTTAGTTTAGATTTGCAACATGGGTTGTTTTTGTAAGTACACAACACAAACAAAACAAACAAACAAAAAACGTATGTGCGCGCGTTCTTGCGACTTCTGAAGAAACCATAGGTTGTTGCCCAACATATTCGTCAAAAGCGGCCAAGCGGGCCTCTCGCGCGCGCATGTCGAAATCATTCGGACGCCCTTTGCGCGCGTGCTGGGGGGGGGCGGGCCACGATCCACGACAAATGATAAAATCCGGGCCGCTCGCGACCGTCGCGCGCGCATGTCGAAACCCGTCCGAAAACCTTCAGCAGCGACATGTGGACACCGCAATCGTCGCCGGCGTCATCAACATCGGCGCCGTCATTGGCTTTGCCGTCGTCATCGCCACCGCCGCCACCAACAACGCTACTATCATCATCGTGTCGGCCGTTGTCCACGTCGCCATGATACCGCGCCCACCCGAATCACCGACTTGGACTGAGGTCCCGCGCTTCAGTGCGGCCTGCGAGACGCGGTGGGAAATCCCTGGCGGTCAGCGCTACCGCAGCCGCGTCGGTCGCGACAGACTAGCTGGCCGCTGAGCGCGCGAGCCTGCGCGAGCCTGCGCGCGCCAACACGGCCGCAGCGATGCGCCAGCCAGCGCCACGCAGTCATCGCAGTCGCCGCCGCATGGGCTTTGCAAACCAATTTGCGGGCGGGTTGGTAGAATGATTATGCGAGCAATGGAGTTGACAACTTCAGGTTCGGCAAGGTGATTGCACCACATAGACTACACCACATCGACTGAACCACATCGATGGCACCACATACATTGCGCGGCACAGAATTTCCACAACCTGGGCCATTTGTTAAAAGAAACTTGGGGTCTTAGGATCTATCACCCCCCTCCCCCCGGGGTCAAAAGCCCACCCTGGGAATGTGCAACTTAGGACAATGTACTTACGATTCTGCCCCATCGCGCATTCGAAATATGAACTCGCACCATCCCAGCCAAGCCGCCCCCCCTTCACCCTCGACTAATAATTTGATGCGCGCACACACGTTAATCAAAAATCACATACACCAAAAAACCTGTTTCAAAAAAAACTGTGCAAAGTGCACACGCACGCGTCGTGGCGCGCGAACGCCGACACCCGTTAAAATCATAGAACCGAAGGCTTCGCAAGGAGCGCCGAAAACCAAAAGAGCGCCGAAAAGCAAAGGAGCGCCGAAAACCAAAAGGCGCCGAACACCTAACGAACGCCGAAAAAAAGGCTCCGAAAACCAGCGGGGCGCCGACAACCAAAGAGACGCCGAAAACCAAAAGAGCTCCGAAAACCAGAGCAGCGCCGAACACCAAAAGGGCGCCGAAAACCAAAAAGAACCGAAACCCAAAGGGCGCCAAAAACCAAAAGGTTGCCGAACTTGAAAAGGACGTCGGAAACCAAAGGGACGCCGAAACCAAATACAGAGCCGGCAACCAAAGGGTCGCCAAACACCAAAAGGGCACCCATAAAAAACACTCCCGAAAACCGAGGGAGCGCCGAAAACCAAAAGGGCACCGAAGACCAAAACAGCGCCGCAAAATCAAAAGAAGCGCCGAAAACCAAAGGGGCGCCGAAAACCAAAAGAGCTCCGAAAACAAAAGGAGCGCCTAAACCGAAAGTGCGCCGAAAACCAAAGGAGCACCGAAAACCAAGGGGGTGCAGAAAACCGAAAGGAGAACGAAAACCAACAAAGCGCAGATACCCAAGAAGGTGCACCGAAAACCTAAGATGCGCCGAAAACCAAAAGGACACCGAAAACCAAAGGAGCACCGAAACCAGAGGGCGCCGAAAACTAAATGGACGCCGAACACCCAAGGGGCGTCGAAAACCAAAAGAAACGCCGACAATACAAGGGGCGCCGAAAACCAACGATGCGCCGAAAACCAAAAGGGCGCCGAAAAACCAAAGTGGCGCTGATAACCAAAAGGGCCCCGAAAACGAAGGGGCGCCGAAAACAACAGAAGCTCCGAAGACAGACAGAGCGCCGAAAACAAACACCGCGCTGAAAACCTGCGGAGCGCCGAAAAACCAAAAGGAGCCCCAAAAACCAAAAGGACACCGAAAACCAAGGGAGCACCGAAACCAGAGGGCGTCGAAAACTAAAGGGGCGCCGAACACCCCAGGGGCGCCGAAAACCAAAAGAAACGCCGACAACCCAAGGGGCGCCGAAAACGAAAAGAAACGCCGAAAACCAAACGGGCGCCGAAAAACAAAAATGGCGCTGATAACCAAAAGGGCCCCGAAAGCGAAAGGGGCGCCGAAAATAACAGAAGCTCCGAAGACGGACAGGGCGCCGAAAACAAACACGGTGCTGAAAACCTGAGGGGCGCCGACAAACCAAAAGGAGCGCCGAAAACCAAAGGGGCGCCGAAAACCCAAGATGCGCCGAAAACCGAAGGAGCGACGAAAACCAACGACGCGCCGAAAGCCAAAAGGGCGCCAAAAATCAAAGACGCGCCGATAACCAAAAGAGTGTTGAAGAACAAAGGGCGCCAAAAAACGAAAGGCGCGCAGATAGCCGAAGGGCGCCCAAAACTCAAGGGGCGCCGAAAACCAGAGAGCGCCGAAAACCAAAACGGCGCCGAAAACTAAAGGGACGCCGAAAACAAAGAGGGCGCCGAAAACCAAAGGAACGCTAGAACCCAAGAGGGCGCCGAAAACCAACGATGCGATGAAAACCAGAAAGGGTGCGCAGAAAGCCAACAGGGGCGTCTAAAGCCAAAGGAGCGCCGAAAACCGCATGAGCGCTGAAAACCAAAGGAGCGCCGAAAACCAAAGGAGCGCCGAAAACCAAAGGAGCGCCAAGGAAGCGTCAGAAGCCCAAAACGCGCCGAAAACCAACGAGGCGCCGAAAACCAAAGAGACATCGAAAACCACAAGTACGCCGCAAACCAACGGGGCGCCGAAACCCAAAAAAGAAAAGTAGCTTCGAACCCCCCCCCTTCAGCCAGGGCCCTCCGGCTGGAAAAGCCAACAGAAGAAGGGGAGGGGGGTAGCTTCGGAAGCCCCATCCCTTCGGAAAGGGAAGCCCGTGCTTACCCCGGGCCCCGGAAAGAAGGGGGGGTAGCTTCCGAGCCCCCCCCCCTGTAGCCAGGGACCCCCCAGCTACAAAAAGCTTCCAAGCCCCCCCCCCTTAGCTAGGGCCCCCCAACTGAAAAATACCAACAAAAGAGGGGGGAGGGGGGGAACTTCGGAACACCCCCTCCTTTTCCAAGGGAGGGGGGGGATGCTTGAAGCTGGGGCCCCCTTTTAGTGAGAAGTGCGCCACGAGCGAGTTCGTTCCTAGTTAAGGACCCCCCCTCCCTTGATCGATCTCCTCGAAAGATGGCTCCAAGATGGCGCCGAGACTCCCAAGGGTGCCCCAAGAGGCCCCCAAGATGCCCCCAGGAGGCTTGCAAGAGACCCCCAAGAGGCCCGAAGGGGCCTCCCAGAAGCACCCGAGACGCCCGAAAAGGCCTCAGCGAGAAGACAAAAAACATTGATCAGAGTAAGGTTTGGGCCACATGTTGGCCTCCTAGGAGGAGGGGGGGGACCCTAGTGTACTACGTCCCCTCTTTGATCGATCTCGTCCAAGATGGCCCCACGATGGCCCCCGAGGCTCCCAAGGGTGCCCCAAGACGGCCCCGAGGGGTGCCTAGGAGGCCCCAAGAGACCCCCAAAGGGACCCCAAGGGGCTCCCAAGAGACCCAAGAGGCCCCAAGAGGCTCCCCAGAGGCACCCAAGACACCCCACGAGGACTCCCAAACGCATCCAAGAGGCTGGTGGCCTTTCTGCTCGCCCTCCTCCTCCTCCTCCTCCTCTCTCCTCCTCCCTCCTCCTCCTCCTCCTCCTCCCCTTCCCCTCCCCGTCCTCGTCCTCGTCGTCCTCCTCCTCCTCCTCCTCCTCCTCCTCCTCCTCCTCCTCCTCATCATCATCATCAGCATCAGCATCATCATCATCATCATCATCATCATCATCATCATCATCATCATCATCATCATCAGCATCATCATCATCATCATCATCATCATCATCATCATCATCATCATCAGCATCATCATCATCATCATCATCATCATCATCATCATCATCATCATCATCATCATCATCATCATCATCATCATCATCATAATCCTCATCCTCATCATCATCATCATCATCATCATCATCATCATCATAATCATCATATCATCATCATCATCATCATCACCACCATCATCATCATCATCATCATCATCAGCATCATCATCATCATCATCAGTATCATCAGCATCGTCATCAGCGTAATCATCATCATCATCATCATCATCATCATCATCATCATCATCATCATTATCAGCAGCAGCATCATCACATCATCATCATCATCAGCAGCAGCATCATCATCATCAGCATCATCATCATCAGCAGCAACAGCAGCATCATCATCAGCAGCATCAGCATCAGCATCAGCATCATCATCATGATCACCAACAACAGCAATAATAACAACAACAACAACAACCACGACGACGACGACGACGACGACGACGACAACAACAACTACAACAACAACACCAACACCAAACCCAACACCAACAACAACAACAAACCACAACAACAACATCAGCATAATCAGCATCACCAGCACCATCAGCACCATCATTATCATCAGCATCATCATCGTCGTCATCATCAGCATCTGCATCATCATCATCATCATCATCATCATCATCATCATCATCATCATCATCATCATCATCATCATCATCTTCATCTTCATCTTCATCAGCCGCCATGCCTCCTCCTTCCTCATCCCTGACTACTCCCCCTCTCCCATCTCCGTCCTCCTCCTCCTACTCCTCCTCCTACTCCTCCTCCTCCTCATCTTCCTTCTCCATCCTCCCCATGTTAGGGTACGACATCTTACCCAGCCCTCTATTCCACTGCATGCTCCTCGAAATCTCTGATCAGGGCAACTCGTCTGAGCATCGGTTCTGGATGGGCTGGTGGGGCTTCGCGAAGCGTCTAGAATTAGGTGACCCATGCTTCCGAAATGCGACACGCACCCAATCGAGATCAAAGCGACGAAGAATGACTAAGTGTTATTTGGGTTTGGGTGGGGTATATTACCAAGCCCGCGCCTGGTGCGCATTCGAGGAATGCCTTGATGGTGAGAGGGGAGTGCCGAAAGTGATCTTGGCAGAGCACAGCCAGGTCATCCGCGTACCCATACAGCGAATACTCTAGATCATAACTCAGACCAGGTGCCGCAAAAAGAAGTCAGTGCAGCGACTCTATACACAGCGCGAGAAGAATTCCAGAGAGAGGGCGCCCTGGCTCCATCCCCCTACCCATTACAATCGCAGCGCGATGTGGGCCCACGAAAGTGGACAAACATCTTGACGTCAAAAATGAGGAAGAGGAAGAGGAGGCGGAGGAGGAGGAGGAGAAGGAGAAGGAGAGAGGAGGGGGGAGGAGGAGGAGCATGCCCCGAAGGGAGGCAAACGAATTACGAACGAAACCAGGAAGAACCCGCAACCCGCGGCCAGCGGCGAAAGGCCACTCGGCGTTCTGGCCACAACTCGGGTTTCCAGCGGCCGCCTGGGACGCTCCAGGCACTCCCAGAACGCTCTCGACGAAGCGCAGCTGCTGGAGCGCACGCATCCCAGGGCAAGCAAGACCCTGCGAGCCGTCGAAGGCCTCGAGATCTGACGTCACGGAAGAACCGCTCGTAAAACATTCGACTGGGACCCTGGGCCCTCGAGTCCCACGGCATCTTGCGACCCAGATCGATCCGTGAGGGTCCCGGGGCCCGAAACAACGCAACATCACACGTTTTGAGACAATGCGACGCCAGGACTTCAAGGGGCGTCCGAAGGCGCCAAGCCGAAAGCCGAAAGGCAAGAAATCCAAACAACCAACGTCTTGATGTGTTCAATACGGCGCCCCCAGAAGTCTCGACCCCTTCCCCAAGGCCTGTCTTTCACCCCGAGCCAGTTTTCGTCGGTCCCAGGGCCCAGCGAGGCCGAAAACGGCCGAAACCTTGCGTCTTGATTTTCTCACGACGCGAACATGCATGAGTGAGCCGTTTGAGACGTCCGAGAGCGTCAGGCTGAAGGGTCCCCCCCCCGCCGCTGCGCCCCCCCGAGGAAGCAAGGCTGCTGCAAAGCGAGGCAGACGCCCGAAGGCGCCAAGCCGAAAGGTCGCAGCGCAGCTGCTGGGACGCACCTCGAAGCAGGAGAAAGCATGTGCAAAGCCGACGCAGACGCCCGAAAGCGTCAGGCCGAAGGGTCCCCCCCCCCCCCCGCCGCTGCCCCCCCCCCCAAGGGGGGCGCAGCAAGAGCGTTCCGCCTGCGCCTGCTGCAGCGCCTCGGGGGTGTTCACGGCGCCCCGCACCACCTCACCGCGCGCTGGGGCTCGCTGCAGAACAGGGCCGCCGTCGCCCTTCTCCTGCTCCTCCCCCTGCTCCTCCCCCTCCTTCTACTCCCCCTTCTTCTACTCCTCCTGCTCCTTTTACTTCTCCTCCTTCTACTCCTCCTCCTCCTCCTCCTCCTCCTCCTCCTCCTCCTCCTCCTCCTCCTCCTCCTCCTCCTCCTCCTCCATTCCTTTCCCTTATGAAGAGCTTCTCCCTGGCGCACCATCGATCCTCCTGAATCGCGGGGAGGCGGAAGTAGGACTCCGATTTCGCCACGTGTTCGGCAAACTCCGAGCCCTGCCCCCGCCGCCCATCGGGCAACCTGCATCGTGGATCGGCGAGGGTGGGGCTCGGACTTCGCCGCCGCCCTGCTGCCTCCCTCCCCGCCCACCTTCTCTGAGGCAAGCCGCGGGCGCCCACGCGGGAAGCGCCAGTGCAGCAGAGGTGACGCCATCCGCCCGCGCTTGCTCGCCAGCAGCGTCATGCCGGGCAGCGTGGAAGGAAAGGATGACAGAGCGAGCTCAAGAGACACCTTCCCCAAGACTCCTGCTTGGCCCCATGATCGAGCGAGGTTAGCGCAAGAAAACCCATATATTGTTCTATATCTATATATATATATATATGCATACATACATACATACATACATACATACATGCATGTATGCATGCATGCATGCATGCATGCATCCATGCATGCATGCATACATACATACATACATACATATACATACATACATACATACATACATACATACATACATACATACATGCATGCATGCATACATACGTACGTACGTACATACATACATACATACATACATACATACATTACATACATACATACATACATACATACATACATACATACATACATACATACATACATACATACATACATACATATATGTGTGCGTTATAAAAAAATGCCCTGCATCATTGTGTCGCAATGATTTTTGGGACGGCGCGCACAAGGGGGTATGGGGGAGGGGGGAAGGCTCCATAAGAAGAGGCTGCTGCTTAGAAGGCGCTGGCCTTCCATCTTCAGACAAGGCCCACGCCTTGTAAGAAGCAGGGATGTTTCTAAAAACCCTTCCCCCCGTCCTGCGCGTGGCCGAGATTCTGCTCGCTCCTCACCAGACTTCGGGCGGTTCAGACTCGTCAGCTCGGGCGTTCTGTCCGGACTCTGGCCTCCAGTCGGGGGCGGCCAAGAGAGGGGCGTCCAAGAGGGGGGGGGGAGCAAAGCATGGCCGGCGGCATGTGCGCGGCTCAAGGGGGGACCGGGGACGTATTGAAAAAACAAGAGGCGTCATGAAATCTGGAGAGATATCATGGCCCCCGCCATGAGATCCACCCTGGACGGTTTCCCCCAAGCCGTAGGCGACCCCGAGGGGAGGGCGACGAGGGGGAGGAGGAGGAGGAGGAGGAGGAGAAGGAGGAGGAGGAGGACGAGGAGGAGGAAGAGGACCAATGTAAACCCAAGAATCATAAACGATGTTGGAGTAACCCTCACGCCAAGCTCCCTTTTTTCGTAGGCCCCTACAACGGTTCAGCTCCATTGATGGAATTACCTCGTTGGAAGACATGTGTTTAAAGACCCTGAAACATACCAAAACATTGATCTCGGGATTACAACGCCACGGATCAACCTGACTGTTGCGTCTTGACGATCTTGAATTACACCAGAACGACATTCCTGGGACTTCAACACAACAAATCAACGTGACTGTTGCACCCGCATAACCCTGAATCCTTCCAAAACATCGTCTCTGGTACGTTGACGATGGGAATCCGTGAAACGATTGCAAATGTTTGAAACGAATGCGCGCCGCACTAAAGCGAGAGTCACATGTTGAAAACCACCCGCCCTCAATCCGCGAAGCTCTTGCAAACGGTTAAAACGAATGTGCGCGGCGCTACGGCGAGAGCCACATTTTGATAACCACCCGCCCTCAATCTGTGAACCTCTTGCCAATGTTTAGAGCGAATGTGCGCCGCGCTAAGGCGAGAGACACATTTTGAAAACCACTCGTCCTCAATCCGCGAAGCTCTTGCAAATTTTTAAAACGAGTGCGCGCGGCGCTAAAGCGAGAGCCACACGTTGAAAACCACCCGCCCTCAATCCGCGAAGCACTTGCAGATGGTTAAAACGAATGTGCGCGGTGCTAAAGCGAGAGCCACATTTTGAAAACCACCCACCCTCAATCCGTGAACCTTTTGTAAATGTTTAGAGCGAGTGTGCGCCGCGCTAAGGCGAGAGCCACATTTTGAAAACCACTCGTCCTCAATCCGTGAAGCTCTTGCAAGTGTTTCCCACATGTTGAAAACCACTCGCCCTCAATCCGCGAAGCTCTTGTAAATGTTTGAAACGAATGTGCACCACGCTAAGGCGATAGCCACATGTTGACAACGGCCTGCCCTCCATCTGTGAAACTGTTGCTCATCTCAAAGCGTCAGAATCATAAATGGTGGAGACGCCTCAAGCGAAACGGCCAGCCCGCCCTAAAAGCTGGCCTCGGGGGGCGACAGGGAGAAATCAATCAAGGAAAAAGAATGGAGAAGGAGGGGGAGGAGGAGCGGGAGGAGGAGGAGGAGGAGGAGGAGGAGGAGGAGGAGGAGGGAGGAGGAGGGAGGAGGAGGAGGAGCGAGGAGGAGGAAGAGGAGAGAGGAGAAGGACGGGTCGCCTAAGCCCTTCGGAGACACCCTCCACTGCACCCTCCCCTAGTCACCCCTCTTGGCCGCCCCTCTCGAGCCTCCCGGGGCTGCCACAGATGGCCCTCGGGGTGCCGGGGCCATAGGCGACCCCAGGAGGAGGAGGAGGAGGAGGAGGAGGAGGAGGAGGAGGAGAGGAGGAGGAGGGGTAGGGGGAGGTGGAGGAAAAGGCGGAGGAGGAGGAGGAGGAGGAAAAAGAGGAGGAGGAGGAGAGGAGGAGGAGGAGGAGGAGGAGGCGGAGGAGGGGAGGAGGAGGAGGAGGAGGAGGAGGAGACGGAGGGAGGGAGGGAGGGAGGGAGGGGAGGGGAGGGGAGGGGAGGGGAGGGGAGGGAGGGGAGGGAGGGGAGGAGGGAGGGAGGGAGGGAGGGGGGGAGGGCGGGAGGCAGGGAGGGAGGGAGGGAGGAAGGAGGAGAAGGAGGAGGAGAGAGGAGAACGGTTCGCCCAAGCCCTTCGGAGAAGCCCTCCAACGCACCCTCCCCCAGTCATCACCCCCGTCTTGGCCGCCCTCGATCCACGGGGCCCTTCTCGAGCCTCCCGGGGCCCCCAGAGATGGGCCTCGGGGTGGGGCCGTAGGCGACCCGAGGAGGAGGAGGAGGAGGAGGAGGAGGAGGAGGAGGAGGAGGAGGAGGAGGAGGAGGAGGCGGGGGAGGGGGAGGGGGAGGAGGAACTGTGGGAACTGTGCAAGAGCGACAACAGAAGTCGCATCCCCGAAGGAAGCACTTAGGCGAAGAAGTGCGACGGAACGGGACAAGGGCAAGTCGCCTGGCCCACTCGCGGCCGCCTTCCTTGAGGCGGTGTGCCGCTCCGGTGGTGCTGCGAGGAATTCAAATCCTCGCCTCTGGAGACGACACAGGTCCTGATTCAGCGGACCCCGCTGCGCCGACCCTGATCCTGCGGGCCATCTACGCGGACCCAGGAAGACAAACATGTGCCACACCTGTGCGAAACAATCGTGATGCGAGGGACTCGAACCCTCCACCACGCAAAACAAAAGTCGCCTGCTTGCCTCCGCCAACTTGGGCCAATTCCCTGACAATGTGCCCTCCGCTTGACGTAGCGCCGGTGCCGGGATACGACACCGTGCCCCTGCGGAGCGCGAGGAGGAGGAGGAGGAGGAGGAGGAGGAGGAGGAGGAGGAGGAGGAGGACGGGTCGCCCAAGCCCTTCGGAGAAACCCTCCAATCCACCCTCCCCCAGTCATCATCCCCCTCGTGTAGAGGCCTCCTAAGATGGGTCCGAGTGGATGGGGTCGACGGATCGCGCCGCATCGCCAATGCATCGGCGACGCCTCGGCGGCGTCGGCGTGGGGAAGCACGGACTCCACCGCGAGCCACATCGTCGATGCATCGGCAATGCGGAGCGATCCCCCGACCCCATCTGCCCCACCTAGGAGGCCTAGATCTTGGCCGCCCCCGCCCCAGGGGGGCCCCTTCGCGAGCCCCCCGGGGGGCCGCCAGAGCTGGGCCTCCGGGGGCCCTGCGCACCGCGGCGCGCCCCTCCCTAGGAGGCCTGGGCCCCCCGCGCACCCCGCGCTGGCCGGGACTCTCTCTCCGCTCCGCGGGCCGCGGGGCCCGCGGGCCGGTGCGGCGACGGGCCGCGCGGTGGTCTCGGCACCCCCGGAGTGGGCCAGAAAAGAAGCGCTACGGCGGGAGGGAACAAGCAGAAGGAGCCGAACTCTGTAGACCGAATCTCGCACAGGACAGCGGATCCTGGTGTATACGGGATCCTGGTGTATACAATCTTCGTTGCTTCCCCGGGAAAACGTGGGAAAAAAGCACACACCACACCACCCCGACATCGTCCCCGACCCTCAAAAAGTCCTTGGATTGAAAAAACGCGCGCCACTGGTAATGTATATGCTCCAGTTTCCGAAATTATAGTCGGGAAGTTGACCTAAGGAACGAAGCCCCCTTGTTTCCATACGTTCAACTTCGATTCCCGATCGAAACTCAAGGAAAACCTTAGGCAAGCTGCGAAACGAGCGGTCAGGCGATCGCAAACATGGATTAAGGGAGCGTGGATTAGCGACGGGTCCCGTTTCCATGGGAAATCGCGGATTTCCGCCGCCGAGCGAGGCGGCACCGACCGCACTTTGGGGAGGGCACCTCACCCGATCCATGGATTTGGCGACCGCGCGCCAAATACATGGATCGCTAATCCATGCTTGCGCGCCCCCGAAGTGGGCCAGAAAACAAACGCTATGGTAGGAGGAAGCAGTTAGTGGACTCTCCCCCGCCCCCCAAACTAAAAGTCGGCACGCGCGGGGAAGGCTGAGGTCGAAGTGCAACGCATTCAGCCCACCGCCAACGTTGATCACTGGGGGGGCATTGACAGATGAATGCGGCATGAGTGCTCGCAAATTTCTTCCGAGGCATGTATCACCCCACCTACGGCCCCACCAGGATTCAGCGTATACCAGGAAATCCGTCGTGGGCTTCTGCGTAATATACGCTACGGCCACCGATGGGCCGTAGCGCAACGTGGGAGGCCGTGGGCCGTAGGTGGGGTGGGGTCCTCTGTTTTGTGGTCGTCAGAGATCTCACCGCAAGGTCCGTCCCCGCACGGCTTTGGGGGACCCAGGTCCCAGGTCGCCCCAGACGTCCTCGGAGCTTAACTGCCCCCCGATACGCAACGCGCGAAGCGTAGTTAGCGTATTAAGACGGAGCTCAACACGTTGACTGAGGACGTGGGTATGACGCGATACGCTCGCCAAAACGTGGGCCAATACGCTGAGCCAACACGCAAGTTATTGACAGGGACGCTCTAAGCACGGTACGTGTTGCGTCTCAAAACGGGCGTAT